TGTGTTGGGTTGCTCAAAACTTGAAAGCTTGCCATAAGAGGTAGGGGATTTAGAAAACTTGGAGAGGCTTGATGCCAGCTATACCCTAATATCACGACCTCCGTCTTCCATCGTACGCTTGAACAAACTTAGAGTCTTGGATTTTGGATTCTGCAAGGATGGAGTGTACTTTGAGTTCCCTCCCGTGTCTGAAGGATTACGCTCATTGGAAGATCTGAATCTCAGTAACTGCAATCTAACAGATGGAGGACTTCCAAATGATATTGGATCCTTATCCTCTTTGAAATATTTGGATCTCACAGGAAATAATTTTGAGCATTTGCCTCGAAGCATAGCCCAACTTGGTGCTCTTCGAATCTTGGACTTAACAGAGTGCGAGAAGCTTACACAGCTGCCAGAACTTCCACCAGAATTAAATGAATTGTATGTAGATTGTCATATGGCTCTGAAAAGTATCCATGATTTAGTAACAAAGAGAAAGAAACTACAGAGGGTGAAATTCTTGCCTCTGTATGGTAAGGATGATGCACATAATGATTCTATATATAATTTGCTTGCACATGCCCTGTTTCAGAATATCTCTACTTCAGATTCCTTGTCCGAAAATGTGCTTACCATTTGGCATCCTCAAAAGAAGATCCCAAGTTGGTTCCTCTATCAGGGAACGGATAGTAGTGTATCAGTCAATTTGCCTGAAAATTGGTATATACCTGATAAATTCTTGGGATTTGCTGTAAGTTACAATGGCAGCTTAATTGACACCACAGCTCAATTGGTTCCCAAATGTGATGACGGGATGTCGTGCATGACCCAGAAACTTGCTCAAAACTGCATGACCCATTCAAATCTTGATAAAGAATATAATATACATTTTCCTTTGTACCTTTTGCTGGCTTATGGGATGCATCTAAGGCAAATGGAAAAACACCAAATGACTATGGAATTATTAGGCTATCTTTTTCTGGAGAAATGAAGAAGTATGGACTTCGTTTGTTGTATAAAGAAGAACCTGAGGTTGACGCCTTGTTACAAATGAGGGAAAATAACAATGAACCAACAGAATATCGCATTGAGATAAGGAGTAGCAGATCTGACAGTAGTGAACATCATGACTCCGTGACTGATGAAGCCAGTTGCTGTCGCATACTGTAATAACATTAGAAACAAAGGTCACATTCTAATGAAAGTAACATGCAAGTTTGGAAGCCCTTTGCTCTAAAGCCGGTGGCATTGCCTATGAAGAGCATATATGTCCTTTGTTTGTAGCAGAACAACTAGACTCTTGGCCTGAGAAAGAGATTCGCGAGAGAACTTACTTGGGTATGCAATAACCCATTCTTTTTAAATCTACACATATCTATACTATATACTGGTCTTATTAGTAGAGGTGACGTGACACCTCTCTTAGACCAGAATAGTAGTCTTGTGAAATGATATAACATCTTCGCCTTTGCTGACAGGTAGACTTCAAAAACCAATTCAGATGAATGTTCGCGAAGCAAGAAAGCTGTGCCAAAATGGATGGATGAAAGAAGCCTTGGAACTGTTCTTCCTTTGGGATGTAGAGCTCAACTAGCCTTTGTATTCTCTCCATCAGAAACTGATGTTCACCTTTCACTTGCAAAATACTTTTCATCTTTGAAAAACCAGAAGTTTCTTACACACTACATAACTTTAAATATTGCTTGTCGTAATGATCATGCTCTAACTTTAGCGATACACTTTTGCAGGGCCATTTTCATATATGTACCAAGTTAAATGTGGAGGTTCGGTTTAGTATAGAGGGAGTAAAACATCTTCTTAAATATTGTGTTTTTATCCTTCATAAAAAGTCCTGAAAAGGAAAAATCATACTCTATATATCATGAAAAGAGCAGAAATCAGAAATTTAAAAAAACACTTGCAACAAACATGCATGTTTCCTACGAAAGCTTTCCAAAACTTCAAAAACCTTGCAACAAAGTACTACTATATGCTTTCTTTACTTGTATTTGTGCTATTCTTTTCTGACAAAATCGATGTGTATGAAGGTGTTGAGATACGTTGGAGTCATGAATGGTGTCAATGGAAAAGCGTCTGTCGAGCTGCAAAGATACAATAATGAACGCCCATTTGCACAACTCTCACGATCGGATAAAATAATTGCATTTACAATTGAAAGACATGCGAAGAACCTCTAGTAGTGTGTGGTCCGGTTGCTGGAGCTGAAGTGACTGCTTGTGGAGTATACTGTGACATCTAGCTGACTTGCATCATATATTGGTGCTCCATCTTAATTCATTTACTGCAAGCCAGTAAAGGGCAGTCCGATGCACTAAGCTCCTGCTATGCGCGAGGTCCGGGGAAGGGCCGAACCACAAGGATCTATATTACACAACCTTACCTTGTGTTTCTGCAACAGACTGTTTCCACGACTCGAACCTCCTGGTCACATGACAACAATTTTATCAATTACGCCAAGGCTCCCCTTCAATTACTGCAAGCCAGTATTTTGCTTTTTTTTTTTTTAAGGTACCAAGTTTTAGACTTTGTTGTATGATTTTCATGTGGAAAGATGCATTTGGTGTTAAGGTTTAAGCAATAACATTAATGGCTCACTCCGTGACTCGTCTCTTCTCTTCTTCTATAGGTTTTTTTGTAGCTTGCTTATTTGTAAATCGCACCTCTGATATTGATTAAGTTGTATCTTGGTCGAAATCAGTTAGTGAAGCAGATTGGTGATGTATGTTGATGCATCATCAATGACTGTATAGTGTTCATATAAGTTTGTAACTCTCTTGATATTGAGGCGTAATTATTGTTATTTGTATATAAAAATAAGGTGTACATTTGGTTCTTTTGATTTGGTTGTTTGATTTCTAATTTTGAAAGAAAATAAATCCAATTCAAAGTAAAATAGATTTGGTTTGGTTCAATTTTTTTTTTTTATAATTTTTTATTTTCTTCGAATTGATTTTTTTTTTGGGTTTTCCATTATCAAGCAAAATAATATCTATAGCAAAACCATAAAAAGAGTTCATTTTGTGAAACATGAAATACAAAATTTAC